TATGCCTATTCATAGCCAATCCTTTAACTCTAGTTAGGTGTGGCCTAGTGGTTAGCATGTCGGGCTATGGATAGAAAGATCTAAGGTTCGAGGCCTCACTTTCAGCTATGAGCACGTTAGATATAAACTATTGTTGATTTTAAGTTTAATACGAAAGTATTATTTAGTTTATATAGTACAAACTTTAAAGCGATAGTTATGGCAAGTTTGCTTACACAACTGTGTACGAATCATTTGTTGTGTAGTTCAGTTGTGAATTGACGTCATGTTACTTGAACCTTCAGAATTTTTCTCGTTACTTTAAGTAAGTTTTACTACATTATATAATATCTAGTAGTGTATATAAAGTTCTAGATTGCTGTTGAAAGTATATATATATATATGTCGAAAAATTAGTCAAAAAAGAGATAGATAGAGATTGGGTGGTCGTGAGTTTATCCATAAATAGTGTATAGCGGCGACTTTTAAAGTGTTATAATCGCAAATTGTATTGTAATCACAGAGTAGAGAAGAATAATTCGTCTTGTCAATTGGATTCTAAAGTAATTGAACCAATCTGTGTGGACTTTTGGCGTAAAAGAGAATTATTTACAGCTCTGGATTCAACTGTGGTAATCAACTAATTGACTTATTTTAATATATTATTTTAAAACATGTGGACTTGAAACTTCTCGCCAACAAGTCATAGACACCTACTGTAAAGAATTGCGGCACTATAAAACCTGACAGTGGCAAGCCAGACAGGATACCACAGAGGTAATCAGCGGTAGAAATAGACGTAAATAGCGGGGAAATAGGCCTATATACGCACAGCTGTAGTGGTGGCGAAAATATTTCAGAGATTACAAACGTGCTATACAACCATGTCTACTGAATTTAATAAATGTTTAGAGAGGGGCGAGGTACTTGGACTAAAAGATAACAATCTACTAGAGTTTGTTAAACAACAACATCAACAAGAACTAAAGAGAGAATAGCATCAACAGAGGAGAGAGGAGGAGAGGCAGAGAAGAAAGGATAAGAATATATATTGAGAAAGAGGAGAGACTAGAAATACAGAGAATAAGAGCACAAACTGAGATCGCAAAGCTGACCAACAGAAATATGATGGACCCAAGAATAACAATGGAGTCAGGTCCAGTCGACCCAAGCTGCCCAAATTTCATGAACAGAAAGAAGGAAGTGCTATCACCATGATGAAACAGTGCATGAATGATGGGAAATTCAAGTTAGCAAATAGATCAACAGTGCCAGTAGTAAATGGAGCATGTGACAAACATCGAGAGGTGTCAACAAACCATGACATGCCAATAGGTAAAAGCTATGTTGGGGACAATATAAGTGAAAGTCCTATGAGACACTGGTGCAGTAGTGAGAATCAGTCTAGTATCTGCTGACCAGATGACAGACAAAGTACATCTGATGGAACAGCGATAAAGTTTCCCATAATAAGAATAAAGGTGGACTCTCCATACATGTGGTGGACCTTGAGCCTATGTATATGAAGGCAACCATCTTCGACTTGGTGATCGGAATTATACAAGACAATAGAAATTTAGAGAAACCAGACAGAAAAGAGGCTGATAAGGCACCTACAGTCACCACAAGCAAGATGTTAAGCACTCCCATGACATGCCGAATGTAGATTTACTGGAACCGAAGAAAGCACAGAAGAAAGACCCTTCACTGCAGAAACTTTGGGACAGCGCCAGTGAAAAATTGGAGCATAAGACAAAAAGGAAGAGGACTTACAAAATAGAGGATAAAAAGGGAATGCTGTACAGGATCTATCAGTGCCGACAGAATACCAGACGCAAGTGAAGAAGCTGGCTCAGGAGTCGTTTGTGTGAGGACACCTAGGAGCAATGAAGAAGGTAGACAGCCTCACCTGCAACTTCCATTGGCCGGAGGTCATCGGGGATGTGACCAGATTCTGCAGGTAATGTGACACCTGCCAAAGAACATTACCTAGAGGGAAGGTACTCAAGGTGCCACTGGCTGAGATGCCTTTCACAGAAGAGCCGTTCAGCAGAGTAACTGTGGATTTGACTGGACCATTAGCATCTGTATCTGACAAGGGCAATTGGTACATGCTGACAGTAGTCGACTATGCAACACGTTACCCAGAAACCATAGCATTACTGAAGATAGACACAGAGAGACTAGCAAAAGTCCTCCTGGAATGGTTCTGTAGAGTAGGATTTCCAAAAGAAGTCTTGAGTGATAGAGGAACTCAATTTACTTGAGAACTGATGCAAGAGGTGTACAGACTCATCAGTACTAAGCAGTTCTTTGCTAGCCTGTACAACCCCGGATATAATGGACTTTGTGAGAGAGTCAGTGGATTCATTAAAGTTTTAAAGAGCATGCTGAAGAAGATGTACGAAGAGAGATCACGTGAATGGGACAGATACCTGCAAACAGTATTATTTGGTTACCGAGAAGTCACACACGAAAGTACAGGATTTTCACCCTTCGAGTTGCTTACGGAAGAACAGTAAGAGGTTCGATGCAGATATTCAAAGAGCTGAGTACAGAATAATCAGACGTGAAAAACACATAACAGTACATGTTAGACATAAAAAATCGACTGGAGGAGACCTGTCAACTCGCTCGAGAGAGTTTGTGTGCAGCTCAAGGCTACCAGAAGCACTTCTATGACAAGATCAAGAGTCAACGTTTCAAGGTCAGACAGATCTTGGTTCTGCTATCTATAGACAACAACAAACTCACCCTACAAAGGAAAGTAACTTTTGAGGTGCAGGAAGTGGTCAGTAGAATGGACTATCAGGTGAAAGTGGACAAAGACCTACCACGCCAATCTGTTGAAAGGTGAAAATTCCAAAGTCGCCTCAGTTACTATCTCTATTCCTAGTTACCGGACTGAATTCTACCGAAGTATTAATATGGGATTCATACGCGACACTCCAAACCAACAGTCAAGGAAGGAAGTAGTGTTCCAGGATGTACCTGATCCTCCCAGGTCACTTGACCAAACAATGAAACAGGAAACAGGAAATACTAACTGCACTTTTCTTCTCCCGCTTTTTTCCCTACACGTTATAACGTTAAACCAAACAAACAAAAAATCTTTAAAGTCTTAAAATGTTGTTATGAATACATTTATTCGGTGATTTTTAAATGAGTGCGTAAAATATAATGTAAATTACTATTTACCTTGGAGAGCTGGGCAATCTCGAAACTTTACTTACTTATTTCAAATGTTTGTGTATATTGAAATTCACCCCAAAAATATTATTTTTGAAGCATTAATTTACTTTTGATGGTGTTCAATTTTTATTCCAAATTTAGTTGAGATTTCGAAAAACAAGCCTGTAGGGGGTCATAGCTTATTCATTCTGTTGAAACGGGTGCAACTAGGGGCATATTATCAAGTTTACTTTTGTCGCTTTTCCAAGATCACAAACTGAGAGTCTTTCATGTTTGTTTTTTATAAGTTCAACAAAAATGTAATGTAAACGTTATTGCAACTCACGAATAACGAGGAATTATCATTAACTCAGTGTTTAAAACCTGAGATCAAGAATCTGGCATATCTTTCTACCTGGTTGAAGAGGGCGTCAGTTTAAGCTGCATGACGGGTCCTTGCTCATTGTTTCTTGTTTTTGTTTGAAATAATAAAATGTCTTCGGTGAGTAAGCAACAGGTTTACAGAGTTAAAACGCTAAAATCCGGTGTTAAATTCCTTGCCATGGACAAGAGCGCAAATAGACAATTGTCTGTAACTTTGCACTGAAAGAACGACAGCAGGAAATAATAAAAGAAATTTCATAGTTTATAATGCAGTGTTATAATTCCATTATTTGTTTATTTCTAGGCGATTATTAAGCTCTTTTTTTAACCAACTTTGATTATGTCAATAATTTCAAAATTCATCGTTAAACGATTATTAAAAAAAAACTGACATTAAGCTTTATTGCTTTCAAAACTATTTGAGATATTCACAAAAAAACAACAACAAAAAAAACCATTATACTTCATTGTTTCTAACTTGTGAAATGTTTAGTAGTGAGAAATACACACGTATATATATAAATATGGCCATGCAACGTTTTGACACATCAGGCAAGATAAAATAACGATAACTTGACACATTAGAGAACACAAGATTAAAATAATGTTCTAATCACTTGAAGCAAGAACAATAATAAAATTAACAAACAGTATGATTGACTATTTACAAACAGGAGGAAGAAATAAGATTAAAGATCTTTACTTCTTTGTTTTATTTATATTATTATTATTATATTCTGTATAAACATCATTTATAAAGTGGTTTATTATAAATTCATTTTTTATTATAAGTTGCTTTAAAACAAATTAAGCGTATAGGAAGACTGTGTTATATTCAAAACAAGGGACATTTGTTTTATGGATAGACTTCCTTTGATTAACAGTTCAAGGTTGGAATTACCATTAGAAAGAATAGTGATTCCTGAGTGAGTTATCGGATGGCCAGTTTCATGTCTGTGGTTCCGGATCGCCGAATTGGGTGGACTTAAAAGGATGTTACCTGACCTCAGTGATACTCCCATGTGCTCGTGGATGCGAACGGTGAAATGTGGTTTAGTTTCCCGATGTGAATACTGTTTGTAAATAGTCAATAATACTGTTGGTTAATTTTATTGTTGTTCTTGCTCCATGCGATTAGAACATTATTGTATTCTCTTCCTGATGATGACCTAAGTAGAAGGTCGAAACGTTGCATGGCCATATATATATATATACTCGTATATTTCAGGTATATTCTGTTTTATAACTTTCGTTTGAAAAGTACTGTAATTCGAATATTATTAGATCTGTCAAGTATGACGAGAAAGAGTTGATATCCTGGAGAGAATCGAATACTGAAGCAACTAACATAAACAATCATAACTTAATCATTCTATTACAGAGCGTAGCAATTAGGAAACATATTACTAAGTTAACTGTGTATACTCAGATAGGTACAAACAAAATGATATTATTAGCTACTTTACCTCCACGTGGTAAGTGACGTAAATTATCTCCATATTGTGATGGAGGCACATTTTCTGGAGGGCAGCGTAGTTACAGTAACAACAGTTGTCTTCAACTATAGTAGCTCTATCTCGTTTAGATTTCTCTCTACCGGGAATACAACAGCACCTGTTGAATATCAGAATATGAAGTGGGAAATACAGAAACTGTTGTTTAGCATAAGTAAAATGTTTATTTTATCAACCGATATACATTGGCTGAATAATAAATGGATTCAAATGATATTTTATTATGAAAACGTAAAACTTCGTTAAAACTTATAACATTACTGTAACATTTAAAATGTTGGTACATGATGAATATCTTCAGTTTTCATTTATAATACTTTAAGTTTTCATAATTACTTCCAATATGTCTCGAGGGTCATCCATGCTTCCAAACATGAAGTTAAATATTTTTGGTTGTGTAGACTTTCGCTTTTGTATTTTCGATCGGTATCATATTGACTGATATACCCCTTTAAGAAAATAATGACTCCTCACTCGAAAAGGTGAACAACTGTTAGTTTTAAACGTTGCAATTATAGCATTTTATAATTAATTTTCAACGTCTGTATGTGGCTTTGTAATTTAGAATTATCCATACTATTACTACGTATGCTCAATAAATAATTTATAATTTTCCATGTTATCGCGATACACGTCACTTCGATACTCTAAGCCTAAAATACTTCTGGGCATAAACCAAACTTACACGTTCAACAATATGATTTTACTTTGCAGTAAGTTTGTTTTTGTTTTTATAGTAAAGTCACATTAGGCTATCTGCTGTGTACACCGCGGGGACTTGCATTAAATAGTAGTTATTTCTGTAACAGGTCTGCATAATGATATAGTTTGACATCTTATTTCCAGAAGCCAAACCAGTCAGCTGTCTCTGTTTCATAGATATCAGTTAGCATAATTTGAATTAAAACGTAAACATGCATATACAAAAATAATCTATGCTAAATAATCTGTATAATCTTTGGGAAGTAGGCATAATTACTGTTAACGTGTATGAGATTACAAAGATAATATGCACTGAAATTATTTGAATGCTCAGAAAGAATGAAAATCTGTATGGGTTTCAATTTGTAAACAAATGGTTCAAGTTTAAACGACATGTATAAAACTCAGTCGTCACTTTGATCTTCTTGTCTCTCAGAATTAGAGAAAAGGTAAATCGGTAAAATACATTCGTAAGGGTGAAAGGTATGTTTGTTGCAGTACAAAACTACACTGTGACATTTATGTGCTCTACCCGCTATGGATATCGACACCAGTATATCTAAGGGTGAAAGGTTTGTTTGTTGCAGTACAAAACTACACTGTGACCTTTATGTGCTCTACCCGCTATGGATATCGACACCAGTATATCTAAGGGTGAAAGGTTTGTTTGTTGCAGTACAAAACTACACCGTGACCTTTATGTGCTCTACCCACTATGGATATCGACACCTGATTTTTAGTGTTATATGCTTTATTTGTTTTGAATTTCGCGCAAAGCTACATGAGGAGCTATCTGCGTTAGCCGTCCCTAACTTAGCAGTGTAAGACTACAGGGAAGGCAACTAGTCATCACCACCCACCGCCAACACTTGGGCTACTCTTTTACCAACGAATAGTGGGATTGAACGTCACTTTATAACGTCCCCACGGTTGAAAGGGCGAGCTTGTTTGGTGGGACAGGGATTCGAACCCTCGACCCTCAGATTGCAAGTCGAGCGTCCTAACCACCTGGCCATGCCGGGCGTGCTATATGCTCTCAGACTTGCAGCTGAACCACCGGTGCCGGGTGGGAAAGGAGCCTGAATGCCGTTTTCGACAGACCGTATTCTTGATAACAGAAAACAAAAACAACAATTAGTGTTTTCAAGTAAAAATCAGTATATCGTCATTACGTCAAGAAGTATTTAATCATTCATTTCAAGGCATTTTCGCGTTTTGCAATAAGAAGGGGAAAATAAAAACAAGGATCAAGCAATATTAGAAACAATTATGTAACGTCGCCAGATTGAATTTCTCTGCTTCTAGAACATTAAAAATCACGCGGAAAGTCACTGTGGGACCATTCATTAATAATCAGTCTCTATAACGAAATAAAAGAAAACCGTTGCTTGGCAAAAACCAATAAATTAGTATTCAGTCTAGTGGCGGATCCCGAGTAAAATGGGGGTGGTTCCAATCTAAGGTTATCTGGACACGCACTCAAACATAAATGTAGTTTTCAGAGTAGTTATCAGGTTTTTGAGTTCCTGTGTATGTATAAATACTAAGAAAAAATGCAACTTTTTTACAGAATAAAAGACACATTATCTAATACCAAATCAGATTTTATAATATGAACGTCCTAGATAAACCTACCTCATCAACATATATATTGTATTCTCGTCATATTTAGTTTAAAAAAAGGTCAAAATCCATCAGCTGTTTATTTTTCTTAAACTGCACACCCGAAATAAAAAAACTTTGTAATTACGTTATCGAAAGTATTATTCAAGTTACCAAGCACATTTCACAATAAACTTTTAAAATCTAACCTACTAAACTGTCTTAAGTGCTAAATCTATTGCATATACACAAATACTAAACATAACAGAGCTGTGGAAGAAAGCACTGCATTGTTTTATAAATATGTGTTGAAGGTCTTACTGTCTTATTCACTTGAACTATCAATTACTTTTAATTTTTACCAAAAATTTAACAAACATAAAAAAAGTGCTTTCAATATGTTCAAGGTGGCGGTAACGAGGTTGAAGAAGCTGGGTTTCTATAATCATGTAATCACAATATTTCATAAAGGTATGAATATCGTTTTTCCATATCTTAACAAATTTGGAGCTAGGCCTAGCTAGGGGACGGATCTCATATAGTCCCAATTTGTTTTCATTAAAAAAATTATATAAAGATTCCACGCTGAAATATTATTTACAGGCTTAGGGAGTGGTTTGATGCGGCGCACGACTATCCCCACATTCGTAGGGCACGATCACATGATCATAATACATACAGGTCAACACATCAGTCAACATTTATACATCAATGAGTAAATTAATCGAATTCTCTTTACAGTGGCATATGAAGGGTCTCAATACCTTGGGGCAAGATCTTCGTGTGCCTACCATCTCCCAGTGTACATATCCTTCTTCCGCAGCTACAACTACAGTAATATCTTGTATTTCTTGACTTTTTTTCTGTCAATAACCATCTAACATTATTATTTGTAAACAATAAATTACACTAAAATTTTAAAATGATTACAATCCGATAGTGTTCACAGTTATTGCTTAAAGTTTCTATTGTCGTGCCTTTTCAAAATCATAACACAATGAAGATTGGCCGTTTGGTATGAACACCTATTTTTTTTAATAATTCGTACCATCGTCAAATGTAACACAACTATGCAAAATATATTGTTTTAAATGAACAATATGGATAATATATTGATGAAAGATATTAATAATAAATCGGGTTTTATCTTCACGTTCAGTATTGAGCAAACTTTCACTTTCTGTCTTCAAACTCGACTTGTTTTTAAAAATATCCAATAGTTTTTGAAAGCAGTTTTATCCTCTCTGGAAATCCGATGAAGGGCTGTTGTTGCCCGAATGTTGTTTTCGTATTCGTCAATAAACTTATTGTAATTTGGTGGGTGTTTCGCCTTATTTATTTTATTCTATTACTTATATAAACAAATTATTCACGTGCATACTTTATAGTATGTTTAAATTTTAGCCTGAAGACGAAAATAAAACACGAGAACAGAGCTTACCCATATATTGAACATGGAGATAAAAACTTGTTTGGGTTAGTATGTCTTTATCATTGCGGAACGATTGTACTATTATAATTATTTGTATATAAACATTTTCGGTGGGTTTTTTTAGGGTTCCTGGAGTAATAAACCCAACTGTTTCCAAGCTTTCCATACAAGTCTACTACTACCATCATAATGTACCATTCTCTTGCCTTGTAGTAAGATATGTAAACTTTTCTAGGGTCACAATATCGGTCGGTGGGTTTTTTAGGGTTCCTGGAGTAATAAACCCAACTGTTTCTAAGCTTTCCATACAAATCTACTAGTACCATCATAATGTACCATTCTCTTGCCTTGTAGTAAGATATGTAAACTTTTCTAGGGTCACAATATCGGGCTTTAGCTAAAGTTTAAACTAAAAACGTTTACTTACCTGAGATACGGGAAAAGCTTGCAACAGCAAGTTCCGCTATGAACCATCATGAACATCGGCCATCCATAGACAGCCAAGGCGTAATGTAGGTAGTGAGTGATTGTGTGTATCTCGTCTACAATTAACTGTAAGAATAACAAATAATTTATCTCAGTACACGATTCTTCTTAATAGCACCTAGTTAGATCAAATATATATATTACGACACCGAGTTTGATACATGATACAACCACACTCAATTATTTGATCTATTCATCGTCTCCTTTGTCTCTCAGCGGTGAGCTTAAGAGCTTATAATGCTAAAATTCAAGATTCAATGCTCGTGGTGAACACAGCACAGATAGCCCATTGCGCAGCATTGTGCTAAACCACAAATAAAACCTTTACCCATTTATCAGCTTATATAAATCAAATTACAATATAAAAGACAATTATAATATGCGCTCACTGTACGTGAGCAGAATGTAGGAAGGACCTAAATAAACCATTTATTGTATTTTTCCACAACTTATTATTATAAATCGGGAGTTTTGGTGAAAAACGCTAGTTTTTTATATATGAGTGATATGGAAAAAGAAAACTTAAGAAAAACGTAGATTTTAGTATAATTATTTCTTTAGGGAGCACTGGGCTTGTTTTTGTATTATAGTAAAAAATGATTGTGTTACTTTATAATTACAGTGCAACATTAATACATTGTAACTTACAGTGATTTAGTATTAGTGTAATATGACTACATTGTTCCAATGTGATTGTAATGGTATTATATTATCAGTGTAATGTAATTGTTTAACTTTAGTGTTAGAGTGTATAGTAAAAATAGTATAATTAAAATGTAATAGTTATAATGATTTTATGCTACAGTATACCATGAACGTTTCATGTACACAACGAAGCGATCTAAGAAACACAACCTTTATCAAAATATCTCCGGAATCAATATAGTATCCAACGTTTTAATAATTATTTCATTTTGAATCAAAATAATTAATTTTATTAAAAAAAGGTTTACAAATTCCAATGATGTTCAGTGCTTTTTATTAAATAGCGTTCATTATGGTTGTCATAGTAACCCAACTGAAATGACCTCACAATAAAAAAACGGATGCGAGTTAACACATTAATTTACACGAAATCGATGTGAAAGTTTTACCGGAAATAATCCTCGTGTAACAGTACGCCGTACTTATTGAGTCTGTTATAGTACTTGATATTTAAGATAAAACACAGTTTTTGATTATACAAAGTCATTTTCATCGGTAATTAATAAGAAAATGTATGTATGATCATCTCTTATTGAGATCAATATATATACATATATAATTGAAACTTTATTACTTTTAAGTTTTGTTATTATCATCAAAACTATGTGTATTTTTTTTATCAAAACAGAATCAAAAAAGTGAACGCAGTACGTTCTTCTGTACTTAAATTCCTGAAACATTGAACAAGTTTAACTAATCATAGAGCAGTTAAGTGTCGCGTGTCACTATAAAGGGGATTTCTTTCTTAATTTGTCAAGTTCTGATTTTAAGGTAAGAGCTTTATAGTTTTTCACAAAAGCAGTAATGTACACATGGGATTGGCTGGTTGGGCTAAAGCGCTTCCCTTCCCGTACTTATGCCTCCAAAATACCGTCTTTTTTTCTCAGTCATAAAAATTGTAAACAATTATTAAAAGCTATACCTGATTCCCCACATAGCTTATTGTGAGTTATTAGGAAAAAAGAAATTGAGCTTTAAAATTAATGTTAACTCGTAGGTTTTTACAGCATTACAGAAAATAAAATAAAATAATTGTGGCATGCTGTTGAGTGCAAATACGCAAGGATTCGCTGTTTAGTTTCAAATTTTAAAATGTTTATAAAACCAATTGAATAATAATAAAAAAGGAGCTGTTTGCTTCTTATGTCTCATTACCCTATGTGTACCAGAGGCAACCCACAGTCTCCATAGTCAACCCTAACCTCTTACCCAAAAAAAAAAAGGTTCGCCTTATGATGTTTGCAAAATTCATTTGTTCTTTTTTTTTGTGGATAAACGTCTATCCTTTTAATACTCTCTGTACTTTATTGCACACAAGTAATCCACTGTTCTTCAACTTATAAATATACTTAAAGTAAAATTTTGGACATTAAGTTTCGGCTATTGTTTTTGTTTTGTACACTTAATAAAATTTGAAATTCAGATACCACATGGTATTCAAAAGTTTGATATTCAGATACCTATGGTATTCAAAAGTTTGATATTCAGATACCCATGGTATTCAAAAACTCAACTTCTTCACAAAGTTAACTTGTAGTAATGCGGAAAACATTGTCCTCGGTGGGACATCAGTAAGTACACTGACTTAAAATATCAAAAATCCGGGGTTCGATTTCCACGGTGGACATAGTAGATAGCTCGATGTGGCTTTGCTCTAAAACAAACAAACAAAAGCGACAAATACTATAATTAAGATTGCCTCGGTTACATTACCAAATATTTACTGACGTAGCCAAGTATACCACTTCTCTTTCAGCCCTATCCAAAGTTGTAACCTCAATAAAATTTGAATTGTTTTCTTCCAAAACGTAAAATTAATCTACATTACATCCGTCAACGAAGATCCGTTATAATGTTTTTCTAAAAATGAAGCACTACTAAACACTATTTTACTATCATTACAAACATTGTATCCAAATGAATACACTTTACTGGAATCAAATTCACCTCATTATTCAGTGATGTGGTTTTGTTTATAGTGTTCGAATGACGACCATAAATTTGTTTTTATAGGCACCAGAATATTTTATTCATCTTACAGACATGAAAACTGGGCTATAACTCGGCTGTTTGAAACCGGCATTGCCATGGAAGAGCTAAACGGATAACGATGTAAGTTTGAAAAAGGCACAGCAACTTAATAAAACATAATTTTTGAAATTTCATCTAATTTCCATTCAAACACCATCTTATTAAGTTCTATAATTCCTGTTGTTAAGCATAGTGACGGTGCATTACATAAGTATTTTGTGTAGTACTTATTGTGTGACACCTGCAGAGGACAAGCCAAGTCGAGAGTTGAGGAAATCTGACATTTTATAATTCAAGTGGAAAAAGCATGTACTTCTCCAAATCCCTATAAAAAGTTTCTGATTTTATGTAGTTATTTTCGTACTTACAAATTTTGTGCATGCAAGGAAAACGTATATTTAAGAAACGATCATGATGAGCCATGGATATTGCTGCTCATTGTTTACACTGGTATTAGTAGCAATCTGAAAAACACTTTGGATATGACCGTGTTATTCCAACAATGAAGAGTGGTTGGGCTAGTATCATGGTCTGGGTTTCATTTTGTTGGTTTGAACTTGATCCACTGATGATAATAAGAAAAACAAAAAATGTCTTGTTGTACTGTGATATTTTGAAAAATAGTGCACTTTATGTATTGATGAAATTGTATTCGCCATTTCCAGTAGTGGTTTGAGATAAATGACGTCCAATGTTTTTCTCGGTCATTTAAAAGCCCTAACCTGCATTCATTTGAACTGTTCTGGGATGAATTGGAACGTCTTCTAAGGGACGGAGGAGGCAGACATCAGTCAAGTATTATTACAATTGGAGCTACTTTGAATAATGAATGTCTCGGACTTTTCTACCAGATGTTTGTTAACAGTTATTTAAAACCATTAGAAATACATAGAGTACAGAATGTGATTAACTTCAAGTATGGATCTACTCTTAATTACAGTGAAGCCGCTCTGAGGAAACATGCCCTCACTTCCCCATTTTGTTGTCCAAGTACTTTCGACAGTTTACATAGTACTTCCACTGAAGGTTACAGAAAGGAAAAAAATAAAGTACTTTAGTAGGACACACTAAACTTCATTCAGTAAACTTTAGTTATTCAAAATATATGGAACATATTTTACCCATTAACACTTTGCTCCACCTCACTCCTCCCCTTCTGAAGCAACCCTGGACAAGGTTAGTTCTAATATCATTGTTACATGATGGATTGTAGTTTATGTT